CAAATCTAAATGAAAATACAACAAAATATTTAAAAAAATAAATAGACATTTCAAAATATTATATAAAACCAAAATTATTAAAAAAAAAATGTATTTAACTACCAAAGCAAAAAATTTATTTAATTTATATAAATTAATAAACAAGAAAATACAAATAATAATATTAGTTATTAAATGTCCATTCACTCATTAGTCGACCAAGTGATGAATTTAACAAAAGGGATTCAGCAATTGGAAAATAAGCGTTAGTTGCAAAGAAGGGGGCTGCTTTAACATGAAAGCAAAAGCTCGTTGAAATTCAATAACAATATGACGTGATAAAAATCTTAATATAAATAAGGATACTGACATAATAATTCTGGTAAGTCAACAAATTAACCGTAATCGTTATTATCTGAAATCAATATTTGATTTCATGCTATTTCTTAGCATACTGGAACTACTTCTTCGCGGGGTTAGTTCAACAAAAATTACGGATGCTGCAAAAGATGAAAACATAATTTATTCTTCTCGAATTTCCAGCAACTTTTTTATTCAAAAATATTCTGAAATAAATAAAATTATAAAATGAATTTCCAAAAATGCACAAAATACATCACTTCAAATTCAAAACGAAGTCTATTCTATTATGGCATATATGGTGACTAAATATATCAGAAAATATAACAAAGATGAGATGCCTTTTTTTTGTCTGGCTGATGAGACAAAAAAGCATCAGGTTAAACCGGAGCATAATTATTTGGTATTTTTGTATAGAAATTTATGAAAATTTAATAGGAATCATTCATTTATAATGTCTTTCTGCTGAAAGTATAATTAATTGTATTTTATAGTAACGAAATAAATATTAATTCATCAATTGCAATAAGCTAAGCATATGATGGTGCAAACTTCATGTCTGGCCGAAATGGAGTGCAAACCTGCTTTAAAAAAAAATTAATAAAAAAAAGTGCCTTGGTATTAGTGTTGTTAAATAGCTCTATTTGAGCAGAATTTCAATAACGGCGAACTCAAAGTTTTATCCTGAAGAATATTACGCAAGCCTAAAAATTTTGCTAATAGATGGCTCAAAGTTTGGACATCTATTAGAGAAATTTCTAGGCTTATGCAGTATTTTATAGCTAAAATATTGACAGCCATTTAACATCACTACTTTTGTTATCATTTATAATCTTTTTAATTTATCTAATTCATTGTATAATTTTTTATGAGTTTTAACGTATCCTCTAAATATTCAGGCCATACCTTTAAGAGACTTTTAGACCAGAAGTGGACTGCTCATCTAGAATCACGTGTCATTAATATGAGTTTTAAGGCTATTTATGAAATATTATTTTACTTTTCTAATAGAAGTCTTAGCTCGATGTTTCTATTCATAATTCAGTCGAAGCCTCAAGTCTTTATTTTTTGCGTTAATATAAATTACATTTTATTTTATAATTTATCAAGTAATAATAACAATAGATCCACTACATTCAATTAGTAGGTACTAATATAGTGAATACTTAAAATTGTACTGATTCTATAATTAATATCTTTAAAAAAATAATATTTTGATTTGATAATGTGGCTGAAATACTTATATTAATAATATAATCTCACCCCTCAAAAAGTATCAAGGGTACGTTAAATGCCTACAAATCTTCAAGATAAGCGATACCAAATTGCAATTTGACTGTGAAAATGACGCCAATTGGAATTAATTATAAAAGAATTTTTATGAAATTATTGTAGATCATTTTTCAGATAGATTTACACAAGGGATGTGAAACCTTCGACAAAAAAAAGGGTCCGGTAATAAATTTAAAAAGGACCCGGGTCCAGGGTTCGGATGAAACATAAAAATAATGACTCAAAATAAGACTTTTTTTCATTAATTTTTTATTATACTTCTATATATACACATTTATAATTCGAAATGAGATAATTTATATTTTAAATATTTTATTCAATCGCACAATCATGATATCTTCTAAAATATCATCCTTCAGATTTCCACGTAAATTAGTCATCGATGAAAATCCACGTTCTACGCTTACCTAATATAGATAGTCATTTTTATAATACATAAATTATTGTACTTGTGTCGCCAGTACAGCCATGATGATTCTAGAAAAGGTATATAATTCTGGATATATTGAAGAATTTTCCTCCCAGAATTAAATGTTTGCATCTCTATTTATTCTCATAACTTCCGAGAACTTTTCTATTAAAGATACAATAGATATTTTTTGCTCCTTTCTATCAGATGATAATTTAATTTTTTTTTCTCTATCTAATAGTAAAATTTCCAGATCATCAATATCGTTATCGCTACAACCAGTAGATATTGTTGTAACCACCATGGTATTGTAAATAATAGAGTTTTGGGTATGCCATAAATCTTCAAGATGGTCTATAGCCATTTGTTTTTGCTCACTACTTAATAAAACCTGATATCGCGGGTCTAAATATATCGAAGCATATACAACACTATTTTGTAAATATTGTTGCTCTCTTATTTTCGTATTTTCTAATACTTCATTTGAAAAAGAACTTGTTAATCTCCCTAACTCTAATCGACATCTTAACCATATGCCATAAAAATCCGATAAACATAATTGTTCCGCTTGCACTCTTAATGTTGTTATTTTTAAAGGAACCAGCACACTAGTAAGCTCTTTTACTAGATTCCAATCATCTTCTGAAAAAATGATTTCACATGCTCCTATGATAAAATCATTACAGAAATCTTTCAAACTTAATAATCGCTCTAGCATCATACACATAGAAGACCAACGTGTTGTGCAATCTAAAATTGGCATTTACCTTTTCATGGATTTTAATATTCTAATTGTGGGAGTTCTTAAATATTTTACAACATCCCTTGCTTTATCAATTATAGTAAAGTGACTATTTTTTAGGGAGATTCCACGAAAAAAATTATAAAAATTTTACATTATTTTTAAAAAATTATTTATTATTTTTTTAAAAATTAATAAAATTTTATATTATTTTTTAAAAATTATATTTTTACATTAATTTTAAAAAAAATTTTTAACACCCTGAACCCTCCACTTTTTAAAAGGGTCCGGGTCCAGCCAAAATACGAGGGTCCAGGGTCCGGGTTAACATCCCTGATTTACACAAGGTGAATATAATCTTCTATTATGTTTTAACACATTGTCCTCCCTTAACCCTGATTATTTTATATCAGATAAAAGGGCTCCATTAGAATCATTATTTAACTTAAATATGGAGAGGTTACATCATGAAATGAAATAGCAAAAGGATTACTAGCTGCAGAAGTTAAAAAAACATAAAATTTTCAAAATATTATGTAGAAAAAAATTATCATTTTGCATTTTAGGAATTGTAATGGTACTCAAGAGCCATCATTGGGGTATCAACAGCTTTCAGTGAGACCCGTTCTCTATATTAAAATGAGTTCTGTACACTAGAGAATCGATGAAAGATTGACGTAATCAAAATTTTATTTAAAAAAAATACCCAGACTGGGATGTATAAGTTAGTAAATAAATATTTAACATAATTTTAAAAATACTTAAAAATAACGAGTAACTTTTGTTATTACATTCCAATGTAGCTATCTACTATTGCATCACTAGAATAGAGCATTTTATTCAGAAAACAAAGCAGGCTAAGATACTGCCACAGAAGGTGACAGAGAGCCATAACTAAGGGAGTGAGGGGAGGGTATTTAAGGGAGCAGATGTGGACTGTTTTCATAAATTTGTTAGAAGTGAATTGTAATGAAAAAACCTTAATGATCATTATATTACAAAATTATTAATATTACTTAATTTAATAATCATTTACTCTCTTTATATTTTGCTGATGTTGCGTATTTTTATTTATAAACTATTACATTGTAATCTGCTAAAATATAAATTTTCTGTCGAAATTGACCGCTATATGCAAATACTGATCAAAACATGCAATTTTTTTGCCCCCTTTCCCGAAAAAAAATTCCTAGTTACCTTGATTTAACACCTTTAAAATGTTTGTTCTACTTAATTACTTTTTACCCTAAAAAACACATTTTACTTTGACAGCTACTTAGAATTAAAAAAATGAGGAGCTAAAACGCAGCCTAAATATTTAAATATAAATTGATAATTATCTTGCCCTAAAATAAATTAGATGAATCTTAAAGCAATCTAAACAAAATGAATGCATTTTTATTTCTTAGGTTCTCCAGGCTTATACGACTTAATATTACTTTGAATATAAGAGAATTTACATTTAGTATTATATTAGATACATTTTAATTTATCTCAAGTGAATAAATTATCTGAGCAAAATATACAAATATGGAAGAGACTACCTTCTTTTCGATTTCCCAAGATAAATATAAGTGTAATGTTTTATCTAACAAAATAGCGGAAATTTAAAAGGATAGTCTACTCGTGGTTTAAGAATGCTGACTATTGAAAAACGGACAATTGTCATACATTATTTTAAAGCTTTTTATGGAAATAAATACTTTAATGGCGTATTGAAATAATTTAAATCACGACAATGAAAACTACCACAAATTGCCATTGCTTTTTCAAACTTTATTTTCGTGAAAATAGGTAAAAATTATTTAAAACATTTCTTTTATTATTTTCCAATTAAACCAACAACAGATGATATAAGAGGTTAAAAAAAAATTTCAAAGATTTGCTTGGCCACAAAATTTTTTTAAAAAAATGCAATTTCTTGATAGAAGATTTTTTATGCATAAAATCACAATTAATTTCCATTTGATCAAAAATATTATAGCACTCTTAAACAATCTTCTGCTAACTTTATTATTAAAATTTTTCAGAGATCAAGAATCCCTGTTTCAAATCTTAATAAAATGATCAAACAAAAAATCTTTTACAAATATTTATTGTGGATTAAATAGTTTATTTATCACATTACAATAATACTGAAATATTGAAGAGTAAGAAAATAGATAGAAATGCATATTTTAATTTTCTATATGCAATTCCAAAGTAAAAATGCTTTCTTGCTAAAGGTGATTGGGATGTAGGGTATAAAAATATAGTTAAGTTAATGGTTAGGAATGACATCAAGCAACAAGGCTCCATAAATATCTATCATGATAATATACTAAACTGTGGGACGCTCAAAACCGCGCCAAGAATAAAAATATCAAAAGAAAAGATTCATACAAATCCGTCATTAATTTACTAAGGCTTAATCCTCAAAAGTGTTATTTTTAATGTTTCAATTGATAATATATATTTTAAAATTTGATGAAAATCAAAATATATCATATTCTATTAATCATATGAAGAATTGATTTAAAAAATCAATTAATAAAATATGTAAATAAGGTCACATTATATATGTATACATATAATAGAAAAAGAATAAAATTTTCCTATATATTCTCATTATCAACTCTAATAATTGCTCAAAGTCATGTCCTGCAGTTGAGCTTTCAACCCATCTATAACATTAAATATAAATTGGAATTAAGATATAAGGTATTAATAAAATGAGGGGTTAAAAGTTACATTATTTTACACTAATTCAAATTTGCTCAAGAGTTTAAGTCAAATTAATAATTTAATGGGCTCATATTAAATTTAGACATCTCCATGTTATGCCATTGATATTTTATTTTGATATAATTATTTTTAAAATAAAAGGTTTTATTAGATCTTAATAAATAATTCTTAAAGCAATATTAAATACAAGATATAGGTAATTATAATAACAGATTTTAAATAAAGATATTTTCAAATATTGAACTTGTGTTATTTTCAATCGATTTAAGCAAATCCATATGAGTGTTCAAAATCTGGGTTATTTGGTTGAACTAAAGAATAAAAATATATATGTATAAAATAGTAAGACCGCAATGTGCTTTATAATAAGATCCGGTATCAGCCGATTCAATTTGAATACCAATATCGGAAAGATGTTTATAGGGAATATAATAAAGCAAAAATATACCAATATTGGAAAAATGTTTATAGGGAATATAATAAACCAAAAATATACCAATATAGTTTTCTTTTGATTTTATAACTTTCATGTAAATTTTATGATACTCTTAATTTTAATAACACGAAAATTTATACAATTTATTTTCAGTTGATCTATAATAATTATAAAAAATTTATTTAAAAAATAAGGCTATGGAACTATTATTAAACATAAAATAATAATTCAAATTAATAAATAAAATTTATTTCCAAACTATAAATAACCAAGAAATAAATGTAAAGTAGAGGTGTATCAATATAGTTTTTTGGAGGCCGATCCAATATTAGATTGATATCGGTCGCTTACCAATCCGATTTGTATTCCGTAAACATACTAATTGTTTTAATTTTAAATTCTACTCATCTCATATACTTTTTAATAGTATAACATCTATAATTTAACTATACCGTAACATAAGTCATTTAAATATAATATTTCATGAATCTAAAAGCATATAAAATATTTTTATCAGAGGCTTGCAGGCCCGACATTAAGCAGTCGACTAGTTTTTTTTTAAAATACCCAAGACAGGCCTAAATTTTTTAAATACCCGGGGCTGGGCCATATATTTTAAATTGTCATTATCATCTATAAAAATTAAAAAAATTTTTAAAAATCTGGGCCGGGCCTAAAAATATAAAACCCAGGCCAGGACGTGCAAATTGCATGTTTCTGATTTTTACTGATAAATAGATATTTATATAACAATAAATTTTTTAAAAATTAAGACGCCATTTTATTGGTGGGGAAAAATTTTATATCAACCAATAATCGAATTTAAAAAAGGTGAAATATCTACCTGATCCAATAAAAAATATTGGTACATCCCTAATATAATGTAAATGAGATAATTATTTAAATTTCATGATTCAGTATTAAGATGGTAAAATAATTTTTTTCCACTCGTTTTGATATATCGAAATCAAGAAATTTAACGATTATAGGCTGATAAAAGATATAAATATTGAACTAATAAAAATACAGATTCTAGTTAATTTTTTTAAAATCAACAATGCTTAGTCAAATTGGTACAATGCATGAAGATATTTAAAAAAAGATTAGTAATTCTTTGATAATTACTTTCTGTTTCAAAAAAAAGAATGAACCATAACCTATACCACTTTAAAGCGGATATCAATATTAATCGTTACAATCAATACCAATACTACATGTAGTGGAGGGTTTATTGATTGAAGCTAAGATATAATTCTTCAGCACTATTTTTTTTTAGTTCATCATTTATAAATAATATATAAAATTTATAAGAGTAAAAAGAAACAGGAAAAAATAATAACACTTTTTTCTTGCCAGTTTAGAAATTAGTGGGTCAAATTTTTTTTATTTCATAGCTCAATGTAGACTATTTTTTTTTAAATTACACTAGTAATGGTTAAATGGAAAGTATCGGAAAATACCAATATACGACTGATACAGGCATCTCTAAAAAAATGTATATAAATTATTAAATAGTATACAAGTTTATTAATTTTAAGGAAAGATAGCATATTAACTGTAAAAATAATATATTCCTTCTATAAATATTGGTAATTATCGATAATTTAATTTTTTACTGAATCCGCACCATCAACACTATCCCCATTCGAGCTGGATAAAGTCGTTTCGGTTTCTAAAGAATTAATTTGTTCTACAACATCTCGTAATTGGTCTTCCATATTACTAAGCTGTCCGTCTATTTTTAATGCCAAGTTGAAACTTTTAAAAATAGAATAATTAAATACTAAAAATTCATATATACCTAGAAAAAAACAAGAAAAACCGCCGGGTTATCTTGTTTTTGATTTTCCAAACCTGATGTAATTTTTTTTCAAATTCTTAATTAATTTACTTTTATTTTCTTATTTCTTTCTTCGCTCCCAACCCTCCCTCCAATTTATATAGCAGAGAGCCTTACATTCTTCGTTGGCAAAGACCATTCCATTTTAAAAAAAATTAGGTACCAGTCCGCCGGCTCGACTTTAGACATAATGTATATCATTAAACTATACGTTTCTTGGCGATCATTATAGGCGGCCCTCTCACTAGGTAAACGTGAATTCGGATCACCGCCACTCGTCTTATCTTTCAAATCGCCAAAATTTTCTTGGGTTTCAAGAGATAGCAATAACTTTTCGATTTCGGACTGCTGACTCTCCAAAAATGCTAATTGTTGCTCTATCTTGGTTTCATCGAGTTCAGCAACCCTGGTCTCAGCCGATAGTTTGTTTAACTAAAATATAAATCACAATTTTGGTTCGATTTAGATTTAAAGAAAGGGATATAAAATAATATAAGGGCAAGAAACTATTTGATCTGTCAAAAAATATAATAAATGGATAAGATAATAAATTGCCAGACAGTAAAATATAGAAAATACAATTTTGAAATATATTCTTGCTTATAAAAAATGATGATTTGACCTGTTATAGTCCAATTTAAATGGGTTAAATAAAATTTTTTAAAAAATTATTAATGTTTTAATTGCAGTTATTTCATATTTATGGCCAATCTGGAAAAAAATATTAAGATTCTGTATTAGATAAGTCTTCAATTAGGTATTTATATTTGTTTTGATTAGGGCTGTGCCGATCTACATATTTTTCACCGATCCGAAATTGTTTAAAAACCGATCCGATATTTATACTGATTTTTAATCACCCCTGTTTGAACCAAATGTAATTAAGAAATCAATATTTTTTATGCAAAAAATCGAGTTATGAATTTAATTTTTTTATTTCTACAATTAAGACTATAATAAAAAAAATGTATATTTAATAATATATCCATTTTATGTTGGTATGAATTATAAAATTGTAATTTAATTTAATATATAAAATTATAATATATTAGATTTTTTAAATAAATATGAGAGCCTGATTTTCTGGGAATAAGCTTCTACGATATGGACTATCTATATCTCCTGCCGTACTAAAGGCAGACTCAGATGATTCCGCAGATAAGGCATTTTGCAAAATTATCTTTGTCTTTTGTAAAATATTTCCATAATTCGATACCAAATTTAAAAAAATTCTTTTATTTAAATAATATTAAAAAATTATTTAGAAAATATTATAATAATGTAAAATAAATATACATAACATCAAAAAAAAAGAAATGTAAAAAGATATCGGCCCGATCCAATATTTTCGGAAAACGCTAAATATCTGTACCGATCTGATATTTAATATCGGCACAGCTCTAGTTTTGACTCAAATGTATGAATAAATCCAAGATTATACGCGCTATTTGAAGAATAAACTCTTCTAATTTTTTGTTTTATTTGCAATTATATTACACCCTAGAATGGATGCTTTCAAAAAAGTAGCGTTTTATGCTATCTTTACAACTCTAGGATTTCGTATAACTTTTTATTATATATTTCTTAATTATGGGTAAAAATACATAAATTCGTTAATAATAATTAAAATTTTCTGTTTTAAAAAATAAGGAATATTCCTTTGGGCTTGGAACAATAACATTATTTTTACAAAACTCAAAAATAGTATAAATATTTTTTTAACGGAAAACTTATTATCAAATTAACCTTAACAGCATTATCCCGAACTATAGTTTCCCAGGCGTTTATTTTACAGGCTTGTTCAACGAAAGTTTTTTCCATGCCTTCAACGTCAAATTTCCAATTGTTAATGCATTCCTGAAAATCCCTGTAGTTCATTTCTTTATGCAAAGGTTCTGGAGCTTGTATAATTGATTGGGATACAGTGGCAGGGTTGGAACTTTTTTTTAAAGAAATTTTTTATAGAACTGAATACAATTATACAATTATTGGTCATGATAGCCCAAAAAACAAACATAAAACCCCCAAAAGGACGAGATAAAAAAAAACTCGGGTTAGGCCTGAAAATAGATACCTTTGCACAGGATTGGCATAAATACATCATTGATTTGAAATCTCGAATTAAATCCTTGATTTTTTTGAATAAAAATCATGATTTAAATAAATTCCCTTTTTTTTGTATTTAAATAATTATTCGTTTTTGTTTTAAGCAGAGATGCACCAATTTTTTTTAGAAAAAAAACATAAAATTTGTCTTCATTTTCACAAAAATATTCTTTGATTTTTTTTATCCTATAAAAATTATTAGAATATTGTTAAATAAAATAAGATATCAAAAATATCTATAATTATTTCTACTGTTTAATTATGCTATATTTTTTGATACTAAGATTAATTCAGATGCAGCTTATATCTTAAATATTAATAAAATACTAGTTTATATAAAAATACTAGTGTATATAAAAATTCTAGTTTATATAAAATATTAATTTTTAAAATAATCAATTGCTCTTAACATAATTTTTAAATATTCAGAATGATTAAATTATCAGAAATGGACGAATATTAAATATTAATAACAATATGAATAAAATACTTTTTAAGTAAATTTGATATTATTATTTTAATATTATTCATTAATTTCAAAGGAAAATAAATTTAATGCAATAAAATAAATACATTTTCTATTATTAACCTTGCTTTGTTCAGGAGATATTTTTTTCTAGCATAACATCAAAAATTATGTTTATTTGATTATAAAATTTCCTTCAAATAAAAAAATCAATATTTAATCAAATAAATCGTATTTTTTTATTTAAAAAATCATGATTTTTTAGTAGCCATATCTGCAGATATCTATAAAAAATGGAGAAATTCAAAAAGAATGTGAGCTAATAACAATCAAAGCCCTTAGTTAACTAATTACATGATAATTTTTCAAATAAATTAGCAAAATATTGAATTAATTCTAAATGATATATTCAAATTTTTATTTTTTAATTAAAATTTATGAAATGTAATGTAAACCACTAAACTTTAATAAGACTTTTTAGGAATTGTTTTAAATAAAAAGGGTAAAATTATGGTTTGGATTGGAGCCATAATTACCATTGGTTATTTTTTATTTATTTGTCATAAGATTGGATAAATTTTATTTACTTATTCTTTTTTAATATTATTTTTATTGTCGAAAACCATCGGTTGTCATAAATACCTAGTCCATAGAGCGTCTGTAAAATTTGGGAGGTCGCAGTTATTAAGGAAGAGAAAGCGAAAGAATTTATAATTTCATCAATATTTAATTGTTTAAATAAATTTTTCCCCATTATTAATATGGTTAAATTATTGAGAAATGGATCTTTCATGGTACTACGAAGTCTTGTTTTATTTAATTTAATTTTACTCATGACTCTTTCGGCAGTACATGAGGTTGTAGGAATGGTTAATAAATATTTATATAAAATTGTTAAATTAGGGAAAGCAGAAAAATTTAAAATTAGACGATAAGGTAAAATAAATGAATAGTTTTTCCAATCTGAATCGTAAGTCCCTGAATTATCATCATCATCAGAAGAAGCTAAATAATGTATTGGTAAAAATATTTTAAATAAATAAATTTACAACTCTCAGCTGACAAATCATTAAATTCTTGAACCTCTAGGTCATGAGTAATAATTACATTCCCCATAAGTATAAATAATTAAATATTTAATAAAAAATTTCTTTGCTATTTGTCCAATTTTGAATAACATTCTTAAAAGCTACTATTTCAAAGCTTTTCTTTATATCGTTAAAATTAAGCCCACCATGTCTTTTCTAATGCGATCTATCCATTTATCATCTCTTATATTATGCGATTTACAATTTTTAATTAGGCATTTGTATTTTTTTTGGTTAATATTTTTAGGCATATTTTAAAATTGGAAAAATAATTTATGACAAGAAATCTCGGATAACAACCTAATTTACTAAACATCGACCAAAATTTCCGTCAATATATATTAAATTAAATATTAAGTTGGGGGGGGGGGGTCTTATTATTAGATTTATAAACCAGAAATCACTTGATCATGTATGGATATAAAAAAACAGTAAAAAAATTAAATAATAAAGAAAATTTTTTTAAAAAATTTTTTAAAAAAAAAGATTACTCAAATTTTTTGAAGCAGTTGCTTTGGACCCCTTCCCCCTCACCCTTTGTAGGGGCCACTGACTTTTTGCGATTTCCTTTACTTTTATTTTTCTTACTATATCTTATCTCAATTTATTTTTCTTCTCATTTTGATAATTCTTTTGTATTTTTAAAAATAATTTATAAATTCAGGTTTAACAATTCTTTATGTTTTTTTTTCATTACATACAATATTCTTTTTATGATTTTTTCATTGTAATTTTTTACATTACATTTCTAACCTTTTCAATCTCTTTATATCATTTTTAATCTTTATTTCTTTGAGCATTTCTTAATTTTTTCTTTTCATTTTTGATAATAATTTTTTAAAATTATATTTAATGTTTTTGGCAGACAATATAATTACAATTGCTAAATTAAATTAATCGTTTGGTTATAATATAACTTTTTAAAATTAAATAAGTTTGAACTGTAATACCAAACGATATGTAAATTAATAAAATATAATTATTTTTAAAATGATCAAAAATGAGAAGAAAAAAAATTGAGAAATGCTCAAAAAAATAAAGATTAAAAATGTCTTAAAGAGATTGAAAAGGTTAGAAATGTATGTAAAAGAATACAATGAAAAAATCGTAAAAAGAATATTGTATGTATGATGAAAAAAACGTAAAGAATTGTTAAAAAAATGGACCAAAATTTATAAATTATTTTTAAAAATACAAAAGAATTATCAAAAATAAGAAGAAAAATAAATTGAGAGAAGATATAGTAAGAAAAATAAAATTAAAGAAAATCGCAAAAAGTAAGAAATAAATTGAGAAAAGATCAGTAAGAAAAAAAAAGTAAAGAAATCGCTAAAATTTAAATATAAATTAAGAAGGAAACAAAAATAAAAAAAAATTTAAGAAAAATAGACAAAAAATTAAAAAAATTACGATTTTCCTTTTTTGAATGGGAATTTCTTTTTTAATTGACATATTCCCTTTCCTTTTGGGAATTTTCTATTTTCGATTGACACTTTTCCTTTTTTGATAGAACTTTTTATTTTCTTTTTGGGAATTTTCCTTTATTGATTGACACTTTTCCTTTTTTGTTTGGACCTTTTTCTTTTTTGGTTGAACCTTTTCCTTTTATGATTGAAACTTTTCCTTTTTTGATTGTGACTTTTCCTTTTTTGAATGGGAAACCCTGTAAATAAAAGTTAATTATGGTTCAAAAAACATAATCTTACCAAAGAAGTGATATATTTGAAAAAAATTATTATAAAAACCCGGAAATAAAAATAAATGTAATTTCACAATATTTATTTTTTTAAACAATAAATTATTCTAAAAAAATAACCTTATAATTCCTGTAGTTTGAAACTTTGGTAAAAATTGACTGGAAAGATCAGAAACTTTAGGAAAATTCAAACTCGTTGATTGAGACATACTTATCGCGTTTTTATAGTTTATATCACTAGCTATCGTTGTCAAAATAGAACTTGCAATTGAATTACAAATTGTTGTTAAATTCGGTGTTGTTTTATTTAGACCAAATCCAAAATCAGTTGTCCCAATGGTAGAGGTAGGGAATGAAGAAAAGTGGGTGGTTAGAGCTGGTAGAGAGATCGAAGTTGCTATAATTGATTTATTAGCTGTTGTTGAAACAGTGGTTGTGAGGACAGGGAACGAATGAACAGTGCCAACCGTTTCTGTATTAAAGGTTTTCATTTTTTGATAAACTATTATGAAATTATAAAATATAATCTTTAGGTTTATTATATATCCGATTTTAGAGATGCCCAATTTCAGGACTGGCCACTTTTTAAATAGGCATTTTAGGCTGTTCTAAGGGAAATCGAAAATATAAGAGATTATTGGAATGAAATGATCCCTTGTGGAATTTTTCAACTATTAATTGATAAAATATAAATTTATCTTAAAAAATCTGGCTTGAATTCTGCAAATGAGCCAGAAGCGATTTAGAAACCAGTTTAGCTATTTTTTTCTACAATAACCTAAATACACCAGAAGCAGAAACTGAACAAAGTTCCGCTAAATACTACTAAAAATTAAACCTAGAGAATTGTTAAACCAAATATTTGAACGGGGGAACAAAAAGGAGAAGTTAGAATACTACATTAAAAAATTCGAGATAAATGAAAAAGTGTGGTTGCGCATTTACAATAATAAAGAAAAAAACTGGGAAAAAGCCATTATTAAAAGCATATTCGGATCACTACGATATGAAGTAAGTATAGAGGGTAAAACGATTATACGTCATACTGATCAATTAAGGAAAAGAACCGAAAATGTATTAATTGAAGAATACGAATTAGAAGAGAGTACTGAAGTAGAAGAGAAAACCGAAGAGATAGTAAACAAAGAGGACGTAATAAACAATAACGATGAAATGAATCTAAAGAAGAGGGAGGAAGAAGATACAAGTCAAGATCGTTATCCTAAAAGAGTACGAACGAAACCAAATAGATTGGGGATAAATGATATGTATTGAATTGTTATTTTTTGTAAAATGTTTATTTCATTATTATATTATCATAAGAATAACAAAAAAAGTACATGATATGAATCTAAAAGAAAGAAAATTGCAAGAATTATTAATTGACTTATATTTCTATTACTACTAACAATACACTATACTTTCCATCTTAGCCAAAAAAATATTGTGTGTTTCAACTACAAGCACTCTCAGCTTGTATTTTTTGTAGCTGGGCTAACCCTAAACTCAAAAATATCTTTATTATGTCCTTCCAATTTAAATAAAATAATTTTTATATATAACCATTATTTATGAATTTAATGTCTCATATTGGTATTAGAAAAATAAACTTTATTTCAAAAATAGTTGTTTCAAAGAAATGATTAAATTTAGTGTTCATAAATTTTCTAAAAAAATAAGTAAGAAAAATCAAAAATAGTTTTTTAAGGTTGTTAAAAATTTGTAATGCCGCCGAACCACAGCCAACAAAAAAGACGGCGTAAAAATCAGTGGGCTGCTAATCGCTTTTATGGGGAATGACCGGCAATAAATTTTCAATTGGCGCCGTAAACCTTCATGGGTTGGGCTGGCCATTTATATTCTAGCATACCTGGATTTTTGAATTTTTTTTAACGGGCTTGGGTTCAAAATTTTTATTTAAATTTAGTAAATTTAAAACAGTTGCTAACTTAAAAATATATTACTATTTTTCTAAATTTCAATAATGCAAACAAAATGATTGCTTATATACACTGAAATATTGTTTATTTTCATTGAATACAATAAATTAAATTTATGGATATTGACTTGGTTAAAATTTATGTAACTTATTATGGGTTTGGTAATTTTTTCAAATATTAAACATGGGCTCGGTCTAGTGTTGTTAAACGGCTCGTTTTGAGCCGATTTTTAAAAACGGCTAACTCAATATTTCATCTAGAAAAATATTATGAAAGCCTGAAGATTTTGCTTATAGAAGAAACAAAGGTCTAGGACATATATCATCGAAATCTCGAGGCTTAGGTAATATTATTCTGGCTACAATATTGAGTTAGCCGTTTTAAAAAATCGGCTCAAAATGAGCCGTTTAACAACACTAGCTGGGTCTATAGGAAATTTTTAATGCAAGCCTGGGGCGGCATTTAGATTATATAAAAAGTATGAAAAACATACTTCATCACAATATGCCAAAGTATATTCTACTACATCAGCACCTTGATAACTTCGCAATGCCCTTAAGGGAAATTACAAATGAAGGATGACATTGGACTTTATATGATGAACATTACCTCAAAATCAATTTACAACATATTATAACATATTTGGGAGCTAGAATGTACAAAACGATAACAAAATACTCTTTAAAAAAAAATTGAAAATTTAATTGTTCTTGCAACAACAGTTTGCAGGGATCATCCCTGAGCACATGACTTTTTAGTAAACGTGTTTTGGAATAAATATATTGTTGATTGTTGTTAATTTTAATTGTATTTACTAATTATATTTTTTAATGAATGGGAGACCCTGGAAACCTGGTTTCATTGGCTAAATCTATCATGCAAAAATAATAGCCTTAAGCTATGATTTATATATAACAATTTTTTGTATTTTTAAAAATAAAATATTCAAAAAGTAAATATGGTACAACTAAAATTAATAAACTTGAAGTGGGTGGAATGTCAAACTTCAAAGCACTAATTCCAACTTGACCAATACTCGATGTTGGAGCAAAGGGTGCCCCAAAGGAAAATCCTCCAGTATTTGTCACAATAGTTGTGTTTATATTATTATTAATGGTATTTACAACAGAACTAATGCCAATAGGCAGAGAAAAACTGTATTGATTTGTAGTAGTTATAATAGGGAGGTTGGAGGTGTTAGGGATTGAGGTAAAACTGAATGTAGGTTTTTGGGCAGTCATTAATCCAGTTATAGTTGTAGGAATAGTTGTTAAGGTATGGGAATATATAATTGGATTAGTCAAACTTGATTGTCCTGAAGGTAAGAAAGTTGGGAATGAAATAGTAGTTGTAGGAGATGTAAAAGACAACACAGCACTAGGCTTATTGAAGAAGGTTGGGGCTGGTTCTGATTTTAAATATTTTTATAAAAATAATATATCTTAAGGGTTATTTAATGTCAAATCGATAAAAAAAAACACGATACTCGGCCAAATCTTTTAATTTTGATGAAAATCTGTAAATAAATTAAGATTCTTGTAATCTATATTTAGGTTATCCTCCTAGCTTTTATATTATAATTATGAAAATATTTGTGGTCAAAGCATGAAAAATAGCCTTTAACTGAGATTCTCTATAATCATTAATTTAATGATTGATTAAAAATTAAGCGATTATATATAATAAATCTAGTATTAAAATAAAGAATATACTTTTAACGTCAGAAAATATAAGTATTAAAAAGTAATTCTAAAAATTTCTAGACCTTTTATTCCCAGATTAAAATTTAAAATCCTCATATTGGGTGAAACCGATTTTTATGAAACTTTAGATAAACATTACTATTACCATTCTATATGAGTATAAAAAAATTAGAGTGGAGCCGATACGACTTCATAAGTAAAATCAATAAAAACAAGTAATATTTTTATTCTATATTTATTTTTTGAGAGACTAATATACTTATTAATATATTTTTACAATTATTTCTATATAACTTCTCCATGACATTACTATTCAACTGGAGAACTACTTTTATACTATGTATACTGTAATTTATTATGAATTTATTATTTATATTACAATTAAATAATCAGAGTTGTTAAGGAGCGGTGTTCCCGGAGCGCTGCTACGCTTTTTCAAAAACACTTGAAGCACCCCGCCTTTTAAAAAACAGGAGCGAGAGCTAGCTCAATAAGGGCTGGAATGGGTATAGGAGGGGTGCTCCACTGCTCCTTTAAATTTAATGTATAAATTAAATTTTTTTAAAAATATTAATAAATCTATTTTATTTGTTAATTAAAATTTAATAAAAATAAAATTTTATTTTATTTAAATTTATGCTATATTAAATGTTGAGACGAGTTTTATATTGGTTTTTCATCTAATCAGTTAAAATATTTTACATCAAGTTTTTCTTTCTTTTTATATTAAAAATTTCTTGGAAAATCTTGTAAGTCATATTAATATTCATTTTATAGTAGTTTTTGATATTATGGATCCAGATATCATGGAAGAAGAAATCGAAATAAAAAAATAAATTATCTATTTAAATAACTTTATTGCAGATTTTCAAATGATAATGATGAAAATATCATTGTGGCTATCATCCATCCTGCATTCAAATTAAATTGGGAATGGATAAAAAATGCACAAAATATGGAAATAAAATAAAATAAATTTTTTAAGAAAACAAATTCCTGATGCAAAAATAGCTACTAGTTCACGGGAACTCTGCAATGATTTGGAAGATTTTTTTAGATTCCATGAAATTTATCATCAGGAAGATAATATACTGACAAATAATTTTTAAATAATGATATCAAAATTACTATTTTTGATAAATTTCCTAAATTAAAAAATATTTTTATAAAATACAAATACCCCACTTCCTTGTAGTGCTCTTGTTGAGGGCCTGTTTAGTATTGCTTAACAGGTTTTAGGTTACAGGCGTGGATGTTAGATTTAAATTTAGGAAATTTATTATTTTAAATAATAAAAGATTATAAATATTTTGATATATCACTTAATATAAATAAACTTTTTTGATAAAAAAATATGATTGTTTTGTGTACTTTCTAAAAAATGAAAATCAAAGGAGCAGCAATGGAGTGGAACTCCATTACTAAAAGCAGGAGCTAGCTCCTTTTAAAAATTTAGCAGTGGGAGTGGGAGCTAGTTACTTTTAAAAAGGCTCGTTAACAACTCTAATATAACATATTAACATTTTTGTTTCTACATAATATAAATATGGGTTTTAATAATTAATTATTCATTCCTTGTTTCATAATATAACACTTGTTACATTGCCACACATCTTCTCAAAAATTGAATATTAATTTACATATATCTAAATAATGCTTATTTCAATTGTATGCAAATTTTCCTGTGAGGAAGGTGTGTCTAAATATCTCTTGTCTGTGTTGATGGTGGAACTGTGGTTAAAATTTGTGACTTAGGTAGGTAAAGAGTGTCATCTATTCCTGGATATGTAAAGACTATTTAATTCTTTTCCATGAACAAAGTCAACAACCAATTTGAATCATATATGCATGTCACATAGCTTGATATATTTTCAAATGTAATACTTTCATTACCCAAAATTTTCTAATGTAGTTTATGTTGCACTTGAATATATTTTTGACATAAAAAGATCCAATGTATCTTTTGTGTTCCTGGGATTTGTCTTTCCTTTAAAAATCGTAAGGATAATTTCCTATGAATCGTACTAACTTTATGTCATGAATTCAAACTTGATGCTATTTATATTATGTTTTGAAGATTCATAAACTCCATTGGGGATATTATTTGATCAGAATACTAACTCTGTAAACTGGCTGTCTGGCTAGCCTTTTTACTGCCTCCAACATTGTCACATGAACTTTTTCGATGTGCAGTGGCTGAAAAGTGCAATTCTGCTGGATGACAAAATCTTTCATGTGATGACATTTATTTAAAAAGTATTTTAATTTTTGCACTGAGCCGCCAAAATAAAAAAAAATTTGGGGTATCGTGTCGAATTCATTTTAAGTGAAATTTACAAGGCAGGTTTGAAAAAAGTGCAATGCAACATATAATAGTGTGATATCTTTAATATATATATAACAAACTGATGAATTGTTGCTAGTGTGTTGGTCTAGTAACAATGAATCATGAATAACAAAGTTATAATTCTCTGCAAGATCAAATACAATTAAAAATCCACTTTCTCCTAAACTTGAATTAATAAAAATTTTATAGGCTAACTGCTGACTAGATAGAAAGAAATGATGTCAATAGTTTTTGATGATTTATAATTTAATTTATTATTTCATATTATTTTTTATTTTCCTTGTGAGTCTTTAATTCTTTATTAGTGCAACTCTTAAAATCTATAATTATAAAAGTATAAAAACAAAGGTATAATCCCCCAAAAAATATAAATAAAACCATTCCAAATACTTTTAAAGAAAATATCAATAATTTTATAATGCATCAGACACATCGAAATTTAAAATTTTTTATGATACTGTAACTGAACAAAATCACACAACTTGACAATGTTTTGGCATTAGCTATTTTTATGTCAAATTACCCTTTTAATTTAGTTGAAAATAAATATATAATCAATTATCTAAAATTAATGCTACCAGCCTATTAAATTCCATCTAGATATACAACTAGTAAAACATTATTAGATTTTGAATATAATAAAGTGACAAATATTATCAACAATAAATTCGATACTTTAAAAGATTTTACTCTCATTAGTGATGGCTGGACAAACATTCATGGAGAGTTCATCATTAATTTCATAATTATGACTCCAGAACCCATTTTCTTTAAATCCAATGACACAGGATCTAGTGCTCACACTAGTGATTGTATCATATCTAAGCTGATCAAGGTAATTGAAGAAATTGGTAGAAAAAAATTATCTCACTAGTAACTGATAATGCAAAGAATATGAAAAAAGCCTGGAGTCTTGTTAAGGCAAAATATAATTATATTGATTATTTAGATGTGTCGCACATAGCTTGAATCTGCTTATTTAAGATTTATGCCAAATACGTTTTATTGAAAAGATCATCAAAAAAACCAAACAAATAATTAATAGTGTGTTAAACGGCTCGGTTTGATTTAAGCCGATTTTTAAAAACGTCTAACTCAATATTTTAGCCTAAAAAACATTAGGAAAGCCTGAAGATTTTGGTCATAGATGGCACAAAGGTTTGGACATTAATTAGCAAAATCTCGAAGCTTGTGCAATATTTTCCTGGTTAAAATATTGAGTTAGTCGTTTTTAAAAATCGACTCAAATCGAGTTGTTTAACAACACTAATTAAATATATGAAATTTAATGGTATTTTATTGGTAACTTATAAAGAAGGGGAAATATTGAAAGGATATAAATCATCCTTATAAATTCCAAGTCCGACAAGATGGGGAGATTTTGTTATAATATTGCAAAGTGTTATGAAAATAAGGAAGTTTTACAAGAAATAGCAATTTCAAGTTTATTTATAGACAAACAAAGAAGGGGTATTATATTGGACAAAGAAGGATATTGGGCTAAATTAGAGTCTGTCTTTTTTGGAATTTATTTATAACAAAATTATAATTTTAGAATTATATACAGCAGTATTATCTGAACTACCAGAAATATTTTGGGATATAAAAGATAAACTCAATTCATCAACTTTCATTTTTAATGAAAATGATTTGAAAAATGTTAAGATGCATATTAATAAACGAAAGAAATCTTGTTGCCGAGAATATCATTATGCAACAAATCTTCTGGATCCTAGATATTATGGTGTGAAATTTAAAGGCCACGTATTAACAGTAGCTTTAGATTTAAATAATACAGGCCAAATTAATTGCGATATTGAAAAAATTATGGGTAATTTAGCAGAATATTGTTCAAAACAAGGTATCTATAAAGGAGCTGGCATATGGGAGAACTCAATCCATACTAAACCACTCATATGGTAGAAAGGGTTGCGAACAAATCAACCCCTTTGCCAAGTGGCAGTAAGATGTTGTTCGATATTACCCTCACCTCGCCAGAAAGAGTCTGGTCAGCATTTTAAAAATTCATTCAAAAACGAGAAATAGAATAAAGAATGAAAGAGTCAAATATCAATCAGGCATACCATACATTTAAAGGATCACACAAATGCCCTATGTTTGTGATATCATCAAGAGTCCAGATTCTGAATCATTAATATCAAGAGTGATAATGATGATAATTCACAATGAAGAGTTGATGCTATTTCATTAGCATCCCATGAATTTTAAATGTAATTTATAATACATGCTTCTTGTAAATAATAAAGTTATTCAAAAATGTGAAATGTTTACAGTGTATTTTTGTCTTTATTGTTTAATTATTTTATTTTCCCTTAGTTCCCCAAATTTAATAGTTAT